AAATTTGGGGTAACCCACCACACATTATTTATGTATTGGGGGGGGGGGGGGCAGATTTCAGCATTGGGCTCGATACTCCTGGAAGTGGCAGATTCTGGAGGTTCTTCAGTCTGTGGTTTCTCTTACATGCAGCAGAGATCGGCAGAGCTGGCAGTGGGAGAGGCGAGTACTAACCATCTACTTATTTTATTTATTTTTTTAAGCATCTGGGTCCCTTCAAAAGGAACATATTACCTGCAGGACAAAGATGAAATATGTCTAAATGTATTATATAATTCAAGTTAGCAATTTCAGGGGACCCAGAGCTCCGTGACTGACATATTAAAACACTGATGTTTGTTAGAAAAGTTCCAACAATGCTTTAGTATTGCCACATTGAAACCAGTTGCACCAACAATGGCTGTAAATAGCAGAAAAGGAAAGCAGAGCTATCAATCACCTGCACCTGCTGAGCCTGTGCTTGGATTTGCTGCTCGGCTTGGCTCTGCTGTTGGACACTCGTAGTGACAGGACAAGCCAGTTCCAGCAGTGATCCTGCCGCCTCGGTGCTGTCTGTGTAAATGCAGTTGCCTCCCTGCTGATACACCATGGTAGTCTGAGGCTGATGGAATTCTTGCAGAGCGTCTGGCCCTTTTGCAGCCAGGGAGTCCAGGAACTCTTTCATCCTGTGTTGTGGGACCGTCCGGGCCTTCATGCGGACATATTCTTCAAATGAAATGATGTTATCCAGGGAATTATTCATAGCTCACACTTAGGTCCTGAAGTCAGGGGGGAAATATTCAACAATTAGAAGTGATTCAATTAATACAAAATTATTGCACTGACTAAATAAACAAACAAGTTCTAGTTTCCTGAATAAAACACAAGAGCGCACTACCGTTCTAATATTGTGATCAGAAGCCACGCCGGCTGTCAATACCTGAACAATGCCTGCATCTAACTGGATGCAGGTACTGCTCGGGCCAAACTTTTTCTACCTGGCACCTTTGATTTTTCAATTGAAGGATGCCAGACGTGAGGCAGTAGTTAGGACCACCAAGCAAATTTCGTCCAGTTCATTAAAAGGAGAGCTTTGGGGTTAAGGCTTTTCCCCATAGTTCTCCTTAGGGTAACGGGAGGACACAAACTAGCGTCCTCCCGTCACCCTAGGCTCAGTATACCGCGAGCTGTAGCTTGCGGTATACTGAGACGCCGCAGTATAACGCAAGCTGCTGCTACAATTGTGCTGGGATCCGCCCAGCTGCGTGACTGACAGCTGGCTCTGCCTATCTAGAGGCAGAGCCAGCTGTACCCGCCAACCTGTGACAGTCTCATTGTCACAGGTCGGCTAGAACTATGAGGTGAGTGAAAAGCACTCACCTCATAGTTCTCCTTTAACAAACAGTCGAAATTTGCTCCGTATAGACCCAACTTAAGCACAGAGAACATTGTCCTTGGTGGAACATAAATGCATATATAAATAGTTCCATAAATACAAACTTCTTTCAGTCATGTGTTAGAAAAAACACACAAACGGTGTCAGAGAATACAAAAACATGCTCCCTAGTACAGACAATGGCCATGTGTATTGGGCATTTTCCTTGCGATGGAAAAACAGACATGCAAAAGGATGTACGGTGAAGACAAACATCAGTCTGTTGTGAGGATCACAAATAAAATATCACATTTCTCTCAGATTAACCGTAAGCAAAACATGAGATCAATAGATTGCAATCATTTGTCTATGGATGCCTTTCTCGTGTCTATGTACAAATGCTGTATTATCTAATGGAGAATGCAGAACCTGTTCGCATGATCTGAATTAATAAAATGATCATATCTACAGACAAAGGCAATATTTTGGCCACAAAACTGTCAAATAAGAGAATTCTAAAAAATATTAACATGCAGCATATGTATGCTATTCTAAGCATATTGCTCTGTAATAGTAAGCAATTTACAGTAGTAAAATGAAACATTTGTGACCATAGTCACTTTCAGGAAGTAAACAAAAAGAAAAAAAAAAAAACACTCCACGTTACCATCTGGCACCAGATTTAGCCCCTTAATTTTACCATATAGTAAAACTAAAACAATGAAGTGCTACACTGTCACCGGTATAAATATATCATGGCAGGTAGGGACCTCTTATCCTATCCAGTAATGACCTGGGGGCATAGTGGCCTCCTGCTGAACTCAGGGCTCTTCGCTCTCCCTCCCCTCCTTGTCTCTGTCAGGGAATTCCCTTCCTACAAAAGCGCTTGGGCTGCTGGAGCGAGCCTGTGTGGTGACATACGGGACTTTACTACTACAATGGAGGCTCGTGCACAAAGCCACTCGGTGGAGGAGAGAGAAAGATGATCCAGGAACATGTGCACACAGCCAAGAAATTACACAGCATGGCACATCCTTGTTCCATGGAAAATATGCACCTCTAGTATAAAGCCGGCGTATTTTGTCACACCGGGTTGTTCGCTTGGATTATTTGAAATACCATTGTTTGTGGAGATTGTACCAGGCCTGCACACTATTACAATTGTGAGTAGTCCGACATAGTTTTAAATCATTTCAATACATTTGCTGATTCCGCACAGGGTTTGGGCGCTCTTCTGGGTATTTTTTCTACTATTACCACTAGCTGCTTGCATACAAATGTTCTAATGACCTGGCTTTTATGTAAAAGTGATTCTGTACAGTGGACAAACTACAATGAAATACACACTACACAGCAGACACCATAGCATGCACCTTTGGAGCCTCATCTAAACCCAGTACAGCTCTGAGTATGGGACATATGTGTACACTAGCATGTCAGAAAGGGGGGGAAGCCAGGCATACCAAGCCATGTGCAAATACTGTCTTTCAGGCTAGGTTCACACCAGCACTACACACCCCGGGGCCGCGCGATTGTGCGCTAGTGCATGCAGTGATTGCCGCGCGGCCCCATTGATTTCAATAGGTTGACATCCGCACGGCAATCACTAAAAAAAAAAAATACAAGTACCTTTTTTGCAACACACGACCTCACAACTTTTTTAGCCGCAATCCTGTTCACTTGCACGGGCAGAATCACGACAGGAAACCGGGCAATCTGCCCGCCACGACTGGGGTGCCATTAAAAAATAATGGTACCCACAGTGCGACTGGTTCACACTTTGGCAACTCCCGACCGTGAGGCAATCGTGCACAAAACCACGCAGTCAGGACTCGCCTAGGTGTGAAACTAGCCTTAGAAAGTCGGTGTTTGCATGTGAATCCTAAGAGGGGAGGGGGCACCAGTGATGGATCAGGGTGGTGCTGCTAAGATAGATGTGAGCACCTGCAGTGAATAGATGTATGGGTTACTGTTTTTCTTGCTTTCAGCGTATAAAGTCACTTTAGATCAGGATAGGACAAACTAATATGGAATTTAGGAGCAACTCTGTCCAACCCAGCAGATTGTTTTGGAGCCAGCTCCATTGACAACAACTAGAGTAAAGGTGCCCAATACACTGCTCGATTCTCGTACGAGAATCGGGCGAAATCCCGCGATTGTACGAGAATCGAGCAGTGTGAACGAAGATGTGCGACCGCACCGTTTCTACTGTACGGTCGCACGTCTTTTGTCGAACCAACATGCTCGAAAACCCGCCGAGAATTGTACGATTGTCGGCGGGTTTCTAGCCTGCTCGTCCGATAGCTGCGGAACGGGCCGG